AATAATAAATACACATGAAAATAAGCATTTTAACATTAAAAAGCAAAAATTGAAATTCATCTAAGTTAGGTTAAGTTTCCACCATAAATTCCAACAATAAAATTTAGCCCATGTTATATAAGTGATAACAAATGAAAATATTTATCCAAAACAATACAAATGATAGAAAATAATAAAAAAAAAAATACAAGATTAAAGAAAAAACCATTTTTGGATGGATTTGCTTGAATCTTTATTCCCCCACTTCTTCTCCACATTTTCTTTGATTTATTCTCCTTGTTGTGTTCTTGATTTTGTCCTCAAAGTACCAAGAGAAAGAAGAGAAAAGGAGAATGAAAGAAAAAGGAAAAATAAGACAAAAGAAAAATGAAGAGGAAAAGAAGAAACTCCTGGAAAAAACGCGTACGGTTTTCGAACTTTTAAACCAATTTTTCAAAAATTGCAGCGCAAGTCCTAAGATAATTGTACGTTAGGTCCCTCAACTTTGATCTTATACAATTTACTTCTCAGATTTCTATTTTCATTTCGATTATGCCCTCCNTTGGTCCTCGAATTTGGATTTTCATTTCAATATTGCCCTCAATAAATTGCATCCCAATGTCCTCCAACTTTCGGCACTTATGCAACTTGGTCCCAAACTTCACATCTTTGTATGTTTTTTGTCTTTTTTTTTATTCTTTTGCCTTGTTCTCTTACATTTGGGTATTTTTACCTACAAAAGCAATAATTACATAATTGTGAATAGAAATTCGCTCATTTTTATTAATAATAAATATATTTAGATTAAATAAATGTGCAAAAACACACTTATCAGAGTGAGAGTGCAATTTCTAAATTTAAAAATAAATAAATAAAAGAGAGAGAGAGAGAGAGAGAGAGAGAGAGAGAGAGAGCGCCACATCATAGGGAGAGCTGGTGGGACGAGTGACGCCTAAATTTTTTAATTGAGTCAGTCGTGCTCGACTCGCCCCATACATGAGCGTGCTGGCATGATTGGCAAACATAGTTGAGCCTGCCATTCTCTAGTTGACTCATTTTACACCCCTAGGTGAGGCTAATATTGAAGAGGAAAGTCATAGAAGTAACAAGATTTACAGCCTGTTGACAATCATTATTGTAGAGAAAAAAAAGTTTAAATAGTGATTTTTAGGAGAATGTCAGTTAAAAAATAGGAAAATGTTTTTTATAAATGTGTTGAATATTTTATTGTGTGAATATGTAATTAAAAATGATCACGTAGTAAACCATAAAACAAATTAATGTGCACCATGCAGGCACTTAATACCACATTATTAACAAGAAATAAGGATGATAAAAGTAGGAAATAGCGTTTGGCTCACACGTTAAAAATAACAAATAGCAAGGGAGAAGCTAAATTTTAAAATGAATGAAATTTTAATTTAATGCTATATAATTTTTGTTTGAAAATGTGACATATATTTAACGTTTGCTCGTCACAAAATTTTCAAGTGAAAATAAAATGATATTTTTAAATATCGTTGAAAAGTAGGGAAAAGTGGTGAACTGCGTATCGCGTGGAGCATTCGGAAGATTCATAATTAAGTTTCCAAGGAACGTATGGATCAAGCATGAAGACCATCCCTGCGTGGCCCTTCTTGTTTATGCGCTGGCAAGAGAATAGGAATAACATGCCTATATATCAAATTTAATCAGAAAAACAATTAACAAAAAAATAAATAAAGAAAAAGTGTTCAATTCCACCAAATAAAGAATCGAATAATTTGTTCTCACTTTTTCACAAGAAAGTGAGACACACTTTCGAATAAACGTATAGGCTTATACCTCGTGCAAGTTACGACAAGTGAAACGCGTAGATGTAAAACCTGTTAAACAACCTAGGTAGCCTCGCTTGACGTGGGACCAACTGCCAAGGCAACATGACTGGCAGTTGGGGTATTGCACCACTATTTTTTTATTCATTGCCTTTCCTACCCGTGACTTTTACGTAAGTAGAGTACAAGTATTTGTAAATCCACCCTCTATCTTTTATAATACTGCACTGAAGTCCCTGTAGATTTTAGCCTCTATTTAGTTTAGTTAAAAATAATATTTTTAGTATATCTTGATAAAAAGTTGATAAAAGTTGTGAATTTTATAAAATTTATGTAAAATTAATTATTAACTTTGACTTAAATTTTTATTAACTTTTTCAATTCAACCAAATAGGGAATTATTTGTGAAATTATCTTTATAGAAGTAGACGGACAAGATTGTAGAAATATTAACTTATATTAGTAAAAATAAATGCCATGATTGTATTTTAATTTTCTAAGAAGTTCCGTAATGGGCATTGCAACAAAGGACTAATAAATTTTCGAAAAATAATCTAGTAGGCAATGTTTATTTTATTTTTGAATTTTTTTGTAGCATAGATAATTTTGACTTTGTTATTTAGGTCCTTTTTATGGTTGACGAAAACAATAGAACTCGACGTAAACTCTCCCAACAACTCTGCTTCTTGTGTTTTTTTCTTGTTGATAAGGCATCGAAAAAGTTTGGCTAAGTGAAAAGACATAACGAAGTATAAATACTGACATTATGCCTCAATAAATGTTACACCAATCATGACATTGAAATAGAACAAGATTAGTAGAGTTGAGTAACGACTTAAACAAAATATTTCGACCCAATTGGTAAGAGGGATATGAAGGTTACTTCGGCTACTACGAGGAAAAGCTCCCAAAATTGGGTGAGACTTGGACCAGTAAAGACATTTTTATGATAAAATATTTATGTCATGGAAAATAAGAATGGAGATGACACCCATTTTTCAAATGCTTTAAATTTTGATATGTTGCTAACAGAGGAGTAACATAATCGTTTCAAAATTCGTCATGACATTTGAGTAGATTATACCACAGGCTCATTTGATGTGACTTTTGAAATAAGTTTTTGGACCCACTTAATTAATTTAAATAAGAATATTTATTATAATTAAAAGAGTTTTTAGAGAAAGTTAACATAATGTAACATCATCTAAAAAAAATTTCGGATCATGAAACTTTTATAAAAATTAGTTTTCAAATACCAATCAAAATAAGTTTTTCTAAAAACTCTTCTATAAGAAGTAAAAACAAAATCTCTGCCAAACATATCCTACTTCTCATATGTCACACTAGAAGAAAAAAGACTGAAACTTGTGGGGGCCTTCTTGTGCTCTAGAAAAACTTGAGGGAGTGTAGCTCTAATTATCATATTTCTATGTGTACATTAAGGGATCCACAAAGGGATCCATAATATACACATGGCCGACTCTCATTGGAGGGTCGACTATCGCGTCAGCCGACCCTCCAATGAGGGTCGGCCATGTGTACATTATGGATCCCTTTGTGGATCCCTTAATGTATACATAACACCACCCTTTGATAAAACGTTGATTAAATGCACAATTGGAAAGTTGTGAATTTTATAAAATTTATGGTAAAATTAATTATTAATTTTGACTTAAATTTTTATTGACTTTTTCAATTCAACCAAATAGGGAATTATTTGTGAAATTATCTTTATAGAAGTAGACGGACAAGATTGTAGAAATATTAACTTATATTAGTAAAAATAAATGCCATCATTGTATTTTAATTTTCTAAGAAGTTCCGTAATGGGCATTGCAACAAAGGACTAATAAATTTTCGAAAAATAATCTAGTAGGCAATGTTTATTTTATTTTTGAATTTTGTTGTAGCATAGATAATTTTGACTTTGTTATTTAGGTCCTTTTTATGGTTGACGAAAACAATAGAACTTGACGTAAACTCTCCCAACAACTCCGCTTCTTGTGTTTTTTTCTTGTTGATAAGGCATCGAAAAAGTTTGGCTAAGTGAAAAGACATAACGAAGTATAAATACTGACATTGTGCCTCAATAAATGTTACACCAATCATGACATTGAAATATAACAAGATTAGTAGAGTCGAGTAACGAATTAAAACAAAATATTTTGACCAAATTGGTAAGAGGGATATGAAGGTAACTTCGACTACAAGGAAAAGCTCCCAAAATTGGGTGAGACTTGGACCAGTAAAGACATTTTTCTGATAAAATAGTTATGTCAAGGAAAGTAAGAATGGAGATGACACCCATTTTTCAAATGCCTTAAATTTTGATATGTTGCTAAAAGAGGAGTAACATAATCGTTTCAAATTTTGTCTTAGCATTTGAGTAGATTATACTGTAGGTTCGTTTGATATGACTTTTGAAAGCCGAAATAAGTTTTTGGACCCACTTAATTAATTTAAATAAGAGTATTTATTTTAATTAAAAGAGTTTTTAGAGAAAGTTAACATAATATAACATCATCTAAAAAAAATTTCGGAACATGAAACTCTTATAAAAATTAGTTTTCAAATACCAATTAAAATAATTTTTTCAGAAAACTCTTCTATAAGAAGTAAAAACAAAATCTTTGCCAAACATATCCTACTTCTCATATGTCACACTAGAAGAAACAAGATTGAAATTTGTGGGTGCCTTCTTGTGCTCTAGAAAAACTTCAGGGAGTGTAGCTCTAATTATCATAACTACATTTGTTTGCAGTAAAAGCCTTCTCTCTTGCCCATCATAGACTGCTAAAGTATATATAATAATGAAAGAACAGGTAGAAGACAAAGGAGGAGAAGCATGAAACAAAAGGAAACCACCACCACATATAGATTAAAAAAATAATGAGATAAAACCCCATGAGAGCAGACGCACCATCAACATCATCATTCAACACATTCATTTCCCTTTCAAGCCTTGAGATTAAATTCCATACTTTCATTTCCATTACCAAAGCATTAGGCTTTTTGCATTTTTTTGCTCTCTCTGTCTCTCTCTCGTCAATTTATTCCACACATTCTTGTTCCTCATTTTTGGTCACATTGGGCTTTGACATTGTATAAAAGTAGCTGAGTTTGGAGAATGCCCAGCCAGGAATCGTCGATTTTTCTGAGCTGAATGTGATTTGTGTTATCTGATATCATCAGGGGCTAGCTTTCAAGATGAGACTAGGTGAGTTATTGTGAATCCTCTGAAATACCTTTACGTTCACCACATTTTCTTAATGTTTCATACTGAAGAAATGTGGTTTATTGGGTCTTTGTACATTCGTCTTGAAAAATATACTCCTTCCAGTGTTTTGTAGATAAATGCAATTTAAAAGATAATTCAAAGGATTTTTTTTTATTTTTCAGTTCTGACAATTAAATTACAAATAAATAAGTGAAAGAAAAAGGAAATGCAAGAAATGAGAGCAAGGAGGATGAGAATGTGATTTAATTCTAATCTTGGGGAAATTTGACTTGGGTTCTAGCAGAGAGGGTTGTTGGAAGAAGTACTTTCTGCTTTCAACCTTGTACCTTTCTCTGGGATATCAGTTTAGATTGGGCAGTAGATGCAGGGCAAGGGGAAAAGGCATTTTTTTGGTTACAGTCTTTGATTTTGACTTGTAATGGCTTGATAAACCTTAGTCCCTAGATGGTTTGTTTGTATGTTCATGAGACACAAGTTAAATCATTAAAAAAAATTCATCCTTCTCTCAATTAGTCAGTAGCCAAGCCTTTAATTATGTATTTGCTGATATTCCCTTTGTTGGATTGAGTCAGATTGCGTGGAGTATAATTATAATGTTCACTTATCCCCTTAAATTTGTATTAGGTTGCCTTAAATTCCTAGGCTGTAGAAATGATTTTGAGAGGAGCCATTCTTGTGTGTGGTGCAAGAGACAAAAGACTGAGAGGTGTGAAATCTCAACTATAAACTTCTTGTTCTAGATTTTAGTGAGACGTAGCTCTTACATCGAGTGTGAACCTCTATAAATCTATGTTTCTGGGTGTGCTTTGCTATATTTTTCTTCGTCTATCTTGGCTTTTAGGTTGGGATTAGGCTTAATACATAACACCGTTTATGTACTTGAATTTTTCACTTGTCTATGCACGCAAATATATGACCAATTACAGCAATTTTTGAGTTACTTTATGGCATTTCTAATTTGTAGTTGTTCCTCCTCCATCCCTTCGTCTTACATGGCATTCAGAGAATTTTAAAGTCAATCTGAAACAGTTTCCTTTCTTATGAATAGGTACTGAAAATGGTGATTATAGCTCATCTACTGGGCCAAGTTTGGATGGAAGTTTCAGAAATCCTGGATCTGGTATGTTGTTTGAACTTATATTGTATTTGATCCATGCATTTACTTACACAAGGAAATTCATCGATTAATGCATTCTGGACTCTATACCTGAGAGTTGATAATGATGTCAATTCAGCTTATAAATGTTCTGTTTTTATTTTATTTTATTTCCACTGTGATCCTCGAAAGTTGGAGAATGCTTATCACTTGTCTTTCACTTTGGGAAAGAGGACAATTTAAACATAGCAATCCACTTTGAGTAACAAATTTCTTTGATACCAGAAGTATCGTTTTCAACAATCTTAGTAATATTTAGTGTGAAGTGTAACCTGTTGAGCTTTTCCAAAGCTTCTTGTCCTGCCCCTCCATTCCCACTCCCACCACCACCACCACCACCACCACCACCACCAAAAAAATAATATAATAAATAAGTAAAAGAGAAACAAATGAAATACTCTTCGAAGCTCTCTCAAGTCCTGCTAATTCTAGTTCTTCGTAAGTACATGTCAACACTTGTATTTAGTTTTCAGTTTCACGTCTCACACTCAAATCATTTCTTTATTACTTGTTAGAATATGTATAAATATATATACTACATTCATTGAAGAAGTCATCTTAAAGCTCAAATTGATAAAGCAGAGAATTCTAGTTTATTCAAATTTCAGATAATGTCAAATTAGGAATGGATTTGTTATGAAAATTGAAATGCTCTGATACCAGTTTGTTGTGAAGAAATAAGAGATTAAGTTCAACATGAAGTAATTGATCACAAGAATACAAAAATAAAGTAATTTTGCAAAGAATGGAAATTTTATTATATTATGGAGAAGAATATAATGGTTATGTATTTATGATTTGTCTAACTATTTCTGACTTCATTTAAAAATATAATAAAGAGCTAAATATATATAGGGAACAAATAGGAAATGTCCAAATCCTCATAATAGAGTTGTAGTTGAAATAGAATGCCAGAAATGAAGTCCAAAACGGAGGACAGTAAAAATTGCGCAGGGCGAAACAGACGGGCGACACCGTCCATAGCACCACAACGATGGTGCCGCGACGCTCACTTTCGAGTCCTTTACTCCAAAATCTTAATTTTCTTCATCACAATGTCCTTTTCAATTCAAATACAAATTCCTATTCCAAAGGGACTTCCAAGTAGAACTTCAATTAGAATTCGTCAAGTAAATTTGAATAAGATTCCCCAATATAGCATTTCAAATAGAATTATTCTTAATGTACACTTTAATTAGAACTCTCAATTATCTTCAATAAAGAATTTAGGTTATACCCGAATTTAACAATCTCCACATTGACACGAATTCCATTGCAATGAGCAAAATTTCAAATATTCTTCACCTGGAGAGAAATTCCATTGCAAGGAATAGACTTGAACTCTTCAATGAAAAACACAAACGAACTTCTCCATCAACGATTCAAACTAGAAATATTCTCTACCTCTGCTACCCCAACTTGGGGAAAAGTGATCTAATAACCACCAAACAAGGCTGAAACAAGCTTTGTAAACAGAATCATAACCGAATGCATCAAACGAAGGATTTTGGCCAGAATCAACTCCCTTAACCGCATTCAAACCATCAACAAAATCCGCAGAATTGTACCTATATGGAACCTTATGGCAAAAAATGGGTTTATTTCTAGCAATTGAATACGATGACACCGTCAATAATGGTGGCAAGACATATTTACCCATATCTTCAAAATTCAATTGAAATGTATTCATAAACGATGACTCCGAATTAGACTCCAACGGTACAGAAGTCAGCTCTAAATCCACTTGAGTTCTTAAAATATGCTGATTACTTGAAGATTCTGTATCACCTTGCAAGATATATAAGTCGGATTTTTTATGTCCCATCAATACAACACGAGCTCTTTTGATGACCTTTAGAACACCACATTTAACAGTGTACTTGTACCCTTTTGAGTCGAGTTAAAATTTTTCTTCAGATCTAGAACGTGTCTTACTGCATCAAGTGTTCTAATTGTTCCCTCAAACATCTTTATTCTGATCTGACGAATACCAGTTATCCGATAAGGTGTGTTGTTACCGGTCATCAAAACACCTTTTGAAACTTCTTCATATATTGAAAACAATTCCCGATCGGGTGACATATGGAAAGTGCAAGATGTATAAAAAAATTCAAGCCTTATCAGGTTTGGAGTTGTAATGTAGAAGCTCGCCATCACCGATAGGATTTTCTGCAATATTTGCTTCTCCTAAAGTTTCTGATTGTTGATTTGCAGTTAACTTTGATTTATTTTGCATCTTATAACAATCGTTTACCAAGTGTCCTTTTTCTTGCAATAATTACAAAATTTGAAGTTAGATTTTGACTCGTCCCTTGAACGACCACCATGAACAATGAGACCATTTCCATCATCCCCATATGCTACAAGATGTTTCATCTTCTCCTTTGAATATAGAGCATCCTAGACTTTTTTGATGGTGAGAGTATGACGACTATATAGAATCGTGTCTCTAAAAGACATGTACGAGGTTGGTAATAAACACAACAAAATCAATCTCAAGTCTTCTTCATCATATTTGACTTCCAAGGCCTTCAAATCACCGATGATTTCTTTAAAAGCAGTTAAGTGATCCTCAAGAGATATACCTTCTATCCTACGATGAGAATATAGACATTGTTTCGGATGTAATTTGCTAATAAGACTCTTCGTCATGCATAATTGTTCCAATTTTAACGTCATGAAGAGTATTATTTGAAAAATGAAGATGTATTTGAGATATAGCATTTCGATCCGTCCGTTGTTTCTCCTCTATAGTCCAGATTGTGGGCATCTTGTCAAATCTCAACAACGCGTCGTTCAAATCCATTTGACTGAGTACTAATCGCATTTTTACTTGACACAAAGAATCTTATATTGTGATCTAATAGCGGAATATCATACTTCATCATTGTCATCACAAAAAACCTCAACCTTCCCAAAAATTTAAACATCAAAAGCTCTGATACAACTTGTTATGAAAAATAGAATGCTATGATGCCAGTTTGTCGTGAGAAAATAAGAGATTGAGTGCAATATGAAGTAATTGATCACAAGAACATAAGAATAAAGTAATTTTGCAGAGAATTGAGATTTTATTATAATATAAAGAAATAATACAAAGATTATGTGTTTATGATTTGTCTAACTTTTTCTAATTTCATCTAAAATACAATGAATAGTTAAATATATATAGAGAACAAATAGGGAACGTCCAAACCCTCATAATAGAGTTGTAGTTGATGTAGAATGCCAGAAACTGATTCTAAAATGGAGAAGGATAGTAAAAAATCACGTAGGGGCAAAATAGACAGGCAGCGCCCTGGGCCAAAATTGTGGCGGCCACGCAGCGCCCACTTTTGAGTCCTTTACTCCAAAATCTTGATTTTCTTTATGACAATGTCATTTTCAAGTCAAACACAAATTCCTACCCCAAATGGGCTTCCAAGTAGAATTTCAATTAGAATTCTCAAAATAAACTTGAATAGGATTCCAAATATAATTATTCTTAATGTGCACTTTAATTAGAATTCTCAATTATCTTCAACAAAGAATTCGGGTCACACCCAAATTCTAACAGGATTCCTTCTTCGTGGCAGTTAAGATCTTTGGACCTTTGTTTGCTGTGATGTCGTGAAGAGCTCTAGGCGTACATGGCTCAGTTATGACTTCCCTTTGTTATTAATGTTTAGAACAAACCTATATATGAATATATAACCGTCTAAAAAAGACTATCACGTTGTACAATATATGTGTCGTCCACTACATGTTAATTTATATTTCAGACTCTTAACTGGAAATCAAATTTTTCTAGTGACGTGAAATTTCCTTTCTAAATATTCATGTATCCTGAGTATACATTATTATTGGGATGCATTTATTTCCAGTCACCCTTATTGATTCTTTGACCAATGCCCTTTGATTTGAACTAAAAAGTTCATAGTATTGTTCCATCTTTATGAGATCCAAACAAATCCAAGAGCATATAAACAGTGTTGTGCATAGCATCCAACAAGGCTAGCTTATTGGCAAGTCTGGGGGCCCTTGGACTGAGGTGTATGTTCATGCTCCTGTGAGAGCGATTTTTGAGGTCATCTTTTACTACTCATGTATGCAAATATATGTAAGCTGTCAATGAGCGATTCATCTCAGTTGAATCCAAAGAATGAGGGCTAGGCCCGCTCAGTAATGTAACAAACTGGAATGGAGCAAATCAGCAGTCTTTTAGGCCCAGTAACTCACTAATAACAGAAAGAGTTCTGGGCTGAGAAAGTGAAGGAGATATTCTGAAAAAATATACTGTTCCAATTAATGGGTCAGATTTGCTTTCATACTTTAAAGCTTCCACTTCCAAATTTAAGCATGTTTACCTGCTTGGATTTTAGCTGAAATAGAATTAATTTTTAACGGAAAGCTGAAAAAAAATTGTCATGTGAACTATTCAAGATAGTGTACACAATCACTAACTTAATGATTCTTGAGTGCAGTTGCCTTGGTTTCTACAACAGCCAGCACTTCTAGCAAATTTATCCCAACTTCAAAAAGAGTGTACAAAGTTCTCAAGGAGTATGTTATGGAACTTGCTGACCTCAATGTATTTAGGAATCATCTTGAAGATTGGGTTGAAGAGAATTTGTACTCAAATCCTAGTGGCGAACATTCTTTTGGGTCACCCTTCTTAATTGATGAATTGCGTAACTTTGATTTCGCATTGGAAGGGGTTCTATTTCAACAGCTATTGCGCATGCCTTTCCCGCCTTATTCTTCTGAAAATCTAAAAGAAGATGAGTATTTGGCGCTGGAAGATTTCATGCATACTGCTGCTGATGGCCTGTGGCATGCATTCTGGCATAAAAATAAACCCTTTCCGTATTTTGTATCCTGTCCTTCTTATCCTGGATCCAAGTTTTATACTGTTGAGAAAGCAATATTAAGGGGAAGACTGGGAAGGTTGTGTGGTGCGGCTTTAATGTCAAAAAATAAGGGCAATACACATGCGCATTGGGATAATGTGGTCAAGTTTATCTTGTTCAAACAAGATGTGACAGGAAGTGAATTCGGGTTTTCTCCTACTATTGTTTGTGAAGCTCTCTTCTATGCAGTCCATATACTTCTTTCTAGGAGCTTGAGCAGGTATAACACTGTGACAAGTGATTGTGTTTTTGTATCAGTTCTCGACTCTAAATTCGGAGGTGTTGTGAAACTTGGTGGTGATCTTGGAAAACTCAAAGTCGATTTGGCTAACCCGTATCACTCCATTGTAGAGTGGATTACATGTCATGCAGAAGTCAGCATTTCCCCAGTAGACCGAATATGGAACAAGCTCGGGAATGTAAACTGGGGAGACTTTGGAACTCTCCAGCTACTTCTTGCGACTTTTTACTCTATTGTCCATTGGAATGGACCACCAAGAAAGTCAATGGACTCACTTGCTGCAAATCACAGTCTTCGCCTTCAGCAGCGCAGAATGGAGTGCCGCCTTACTGAGAATGAAAATGCTCTAGTTCCATATCAACATGAGAACAATCATCAAGGAGAAATTGAAGAGCTAGAGTATCAAAATAATCAAACCTTCAAAAAGAAAGGATCCCGACTGAAGCTTAATCCGGGGGAAATATTATTACTAGAAGATCAGTTCCAGGGACAGATAAGTTTTCAAATACAGGAATTTCTGGATGATGGGAATGGCTGTTCCTATATTGCTGTTGCTTCAGAGAATCTGACAAAATTCTTGACTTTATACATTGGCGCACATCCATCTTGTTTGGAGCCATCTTGGGAGGACATGAGCCTATGGTACCAAGTACAAAGGCAAACCAAAGTTTTGAATATCTTAAAAGATCAGGGTATATCCAGTAAGAATCTTCCTGAAATAATAGCATCAGGTAGAATCGTGCACTCCGGCCCTTGCGAAAAACAAACCCCCAAGGGACGCTGCGATCATCCTTGGTGTGGAACTCCAATACTCGTAACATATCCAGTTGGAGAACCTCTTTCGTCCATCATATCTCATGATTGCCCATTTTCCGTGGAAGAAGCAACCCGTTGCTGTCGAGACTGCCTATCAGCTTTGAGAAGTGCAAAAATGGCCAATATTCAACACGGTGATCTCTGTCCAGAAAACATAATGCACATTATCGACAACCAAGGTTCCAGAAACAGTAGTTTGTTCGTTCTTGTCTCATGGGGTCGGGCTGTTTTGGAGGAAAGAGACAGCCCTGCATTAAATTTGCAGTTCTCCTCTGCTCATGCTCTTCAACACGGAAAACTTTGTCCATCATCAGACATTGAGAGTCTTGTTTACCTTATCTACTCCATCTGCGGTGGAGCCATGCAACAGCAAGATTCGATTGAATCAGCACTTCAATGGAGGCAGAAATGCTGGGCAAAACGTGTTATCCAGCAGTATCTGGGTGAGATTTCGCCTCTCTTGAAAGCATTTGCTGATTATGTCGACAGTCTATGTGGTACACCATATCCAGTAGATTATGATATTTGGTTAAAGAGGCTAAATGGAGCTGTGGATAGTTCAGCAGAGGGGGGGAAAATGGTTGAAGAGATACTGAGAATAAAGGATGTTGCTGAGTCTTCAGGAACTTCAGGAGGTGGAAATTCCTTATCAGCTTGAAACTTTTCTTGGTTTATTTCCTAATTAACTTGGACCACTTGGTTGAGATTTTTATTTGGTCGGTTCTTCATGTTGTCCAAATCTCAATTAATCAAAACCTACAAATGATTCATTGGATCGTTTTTTGTGGATTCCTATACGAAGCTTTTGTTGATGTCTCCTCCATGTTTTACTGATCATTTTGTCCAAGAAGTTTATTTCTATAAACTTTTTCAGAGTACTATTTTTTTTAATATCTTTCAAGAAAATAATAATGTTATTCAATAGCAGTGGTGCTTAGCACCCTTTAGGTAGCAGTGTGGTTCATCTAGATTTGTCCAATTGATTAAAATATATTTTTAATTTATTGAACAAATTTAGGTGGATCACATCGTCATCTAAACGGGTGTTAAGCATTAACATTATTCTTCAAGAAAATATTGGATGGTTCAATATTTTATCGATTAGTGATCCTAAATTCTATACACATCGTAAATGAAAGAGAAATCGCCGGGGCAAAAATACTATACATGCAAATGCAATTTCTTGGTTTACTTGATATATTTTAGAAACCCTTGATATTCTAGTCCATTTTATCTCTACCTATGTTGGCTTGTGCCATAGTTGCGGTAGTTTTTGTCAAAATTTAAAATTTGCAACATGTTCTTCAAAAAGTTAGAGTACAAATAATTTTTCTTAAAGTGCATCCATTAAACGAGTCATTTATGGAAAGTTTTTTTCAAGAACAAACGGTTTAAATTATGAAAAACACTCGTAAAAATCACTTCATTGTCACGGGAAATTTTAATAACAATTTTTCGCCGAAGATGGCCATTGACTAGCTATAAAATATAAAGTTTAGAGAGTAATTCAATAAAATAATTACTTAGATAAATTGAAAAAATTGTTTATAAAAGTTTATGTTAGTAACATTTTTTAAATAAATATTGTAGTAAGGACTAGTTACAAACAATTTATAAATCTAGCGTTTGCTAAATAACTACGCAAATAAGCGAGGATTAAAAAGAAATTATTGTTTAAATTTGGCCTGCTTTAGCAGTCAAACTATAATCCTTTCTCGAGCAAGGTCTCTGAATTTTTTTCTCAATCACAACTTATATAAACGCTGATTAACGTTTGCAATTGCCCCGCACGTCTGCAGAAACTGCATTGTGAAGGGAAAGGAAAGAGCAAATGGAAAGAGGAGAAAGCTCAGAGTCCAAATCCTGCGACGATGATATCTGGGCAAAACTCGGTAACAAAAAATTAAGAAAAAAGTTGTTCTCTTGATTTTAAAGATCCTTTTATTGATAGTTTTTGAATTTGACTTATTGGTTCTCTCTCTCTCTTTTTGATTGATTCTGGGTTAAGGGGTCTGCTATTTCGTATCCCAGTTAAAAATTTATGTTGCGTGGAGGTTTAATAGGGGTTTATGATATAGAATTTTAATCTGTGTATTCCGATGATATGAATTTTCTTGGTAGCGTAATAAATGCAGTTTTGGCATTCCTCATTTCTCTCTCAATTTTAAATTAAGAAAAAGAATATTAAAACTATCTAATCAAATAATTGTGCCATATCTGTAAATTGGATTAACTTGTTAAGTTTAATCAAATATGAAATGTAGAATTTGTTTCCTTTTGTTGTTTCGAATATTATTTGGGTTTTTGTTTTTAAAATGTCGAGTTGCAATTTTTCACGAGAACTATACAGAAATCACTTTTGACCATAGCTATGTACTAAAGTATCTTTGCATTTTCAGCGCCGTTGTCCTCACGCTGTTCAGATATTGAATTGAGATCCGATGAGATAGTTATATGCTCAGAGGTTAAGAGTTCTTCAGTTGTAAAGCAAGAATGGTGCAAGATAACGAGGAACAAGGATCAAGTCTCTGCCATACTGCAAAACAAGAGGTTTGTGCCATAATGCAGAATTTGAGTTTTTTATTATAGACATTGGTAAGTGAATGTTCACAGTATTCCAGGATCATTACCATTAAATATTTGCTGTTTTCTTATTTTTGAGCATTTTGTAGTTTGACTGAGGTGTTTGGTTGGGAAGGTGTTAGGTACTAATTCAAAATGTGGATTTGGAGTGAACATGTATCTCCAGATAGGATGTGAAAATTCTGTGGGCAATCATCTCTTCTGTGAACATATATTTGAGGCTCGATTTGGGTACAACCTCCTAGCATTGACAATAATAATCTTGCCACTGGAGATATATTATGCCTTAAAATGTTATTATGCATTTGCTTTCTTAGAATGGAACATGACACATAAATATTTCTGTCATGTCAAAAAAGTGCTTGTTAGTAATTGTACCTGTCTATAAATGCTAATTAAATATTCCCCATTGCTTGACATCTGTCTGCAAAATAGTTCAAGTGCAATGCTTGTTGATGAGAAGGTTATTGAGGATGATGATACAACTATCATCAGGTGTGGAAGTGAGATTATACTGGGTTCTGACACTGAAGGTGAGAGATAATATTTGTTTATTTCTTTAATTTTCAATTTACTTTTGTATTTATTTGTTTAATTCAGCACTGATATTGTAAGCCATAGTTAGTTATCTGTAATCAAGTATTTCTCATAATGTGTAAATATCAGAAAAGCTCAAGTAACATTGATAACTTCTCACTCGTATCGTTGGAGGTGATGCTCCATATGGCCATGCAGTTTTTTTTCCTTTCTTATATGTAGTTTTTATTAAAGCGTCTATGTATTCTGTCGTCAACAACTTTTATAATCTCTTGTATACAGGGACTCTAATGCCAACTAAGCTCCAGATTTAGGTTTTACTTACCTAAGTTGGGAATTAATGAGTCTTACCGCAAAAATAGAACAATTGAAATAGATAAAGTTAAACCAGTAGCTGGTTTGGTTTAGAAAGAAATAAGAAATTCTATGGAGAATTTTTTTTTCTGACTGAATGATAAAATGTGATCACAAACCCGGTAAACCAATTTCCTCAAATCTTAGTTGAAGTTCAATATAAACCTTAAGAGGAAATAGGAAAAAATCTCAAATTCTATGAAATATTATCAGAAACTTCGGAAACCATTGCTAAAAAGATGGGCAATAAAATAATTATCGAACATCTAAGAAACCATTGAGTATCCTAGTCAAGTGGGATTATTTTATCATTAGCAGTAATCCTTGTGCCTTTATTTCTGTTCAACGCCTGCATTACGGTACCAGAAATGTTATGTGACAACTAGGAACCTAGCTTCAGGACATGGATTATGATAAAACAGGGAGTTCCATTCTCAAAAGTTCTTTTCCAAGTGCTGCCAGGCACGTGATACTGTTTATCCTGACCTAGTAAAATTCCTCATCTTTTGATGAATGTGAAATTTCTACATGAAACTTAATCAGCCTTTAACTATACGTGACTCGAACAAAGAGGAGGATTAGAAGGCATTCTTGCTGTGTTAATAGGTTTATTTACTTGTTAAATCTCAGTGGATTCCACAATAGCTTTGTGCTATATCCATCCCTTTTGCCAATTAGCAAGGCTATCTATCCACAAAGCACATGTAAGAGAGAGCATTGATAAACAAGATAGTATGCCCTTTCAACTCTAAGCTTGCCTATGGTCTATGTTGCTTTGAATTGGGTACTGTGTCATATACATGTACACATCTAGGAGTTGGGTCATATTTTTCGTCTAAAACTTAGGATACGAGGATATAGATAAAAGAAATCCAAAACTTGGACATGGGTACGTCTTATGAACATAAATTTTTTTGGAACATTATGTAATAATAATTTTAGATGTATTTTTTAGGGAATTAAGCACTAATGGGCTTGGTTTCATGCTTTCAAAATCTTGGTTTTATGCCTCAAAATTGATTTTATTTCTCTAAAATTGTGGCTGACTCTTTATCTCTCTGCAATTTCTGCTTCATCCCATGATGATCTCCCGTCTAAGGTTTGCCGCAAGGATCCAACACAAAATTTATATCCATGTCGACATGGGTATGTCGTCCAAATTGGAGAGTCCGAGCATCGTAACCTATTGTTGCTAGTTCCTCAGACCTCAAATTTATCTTCAACATGCTTACTAACGGCATGCTTAAAATGTTATGCTACAAAAAAAGGAAAAAAAAAATGAAGAATAGATGAAGGCCTGTCATGTATTTCCAAAAGATGAGCAGTTCTTTATGTATGGACAAGATGGAGATTTTTGTACCTTATTGGTATGCCATAGGGGATTGTACAATATCTGAAAGAAATGGGAAATAAGTCCAACCACATTACAGTTTATTTGCAAGCATAGCAAGAGCGAAAACTTAGACCCATGAGAGAAATATGCACAGGTTGGCTGCTATTGTTCATTCATTAAATATAACATTCTTGCATGTCCAGTAGATCATAGAATTTAGCCTCGTATAAAGGACATGACCTTGGCATTTATGTTCATTTGAGCTCTGTCAGGGGTTATATGTACACCAGCATAGACTTTAACTTATTGTTCCCTTTATGTTGCCAGATTCTATGACGTACAGATTTAGAGTAATACCTCCTGAAAAATCTTGCAGCACACAGCTGAAGGTGAAGAGATTTTGGAAGGACCGGAAGCCTTTTTTTTTGTAACGAGAACCTTGATTACAAATTTAGATTACTTATTCTTGGTTCTGCTTATGAATGTCAAAATGTATTTGTATTTGTCAGATTCTTCTCGATCCGGAACATGCAAAATGCTCTATCTGTTTAAATGTTTGGCATGATGTTGTCACTGTGGCGCCTTGCCTTCACAATTTCTGGTCCATAACTTAAAACTCTTTTTAGTAATGGTAATTATCTTCCAAGAGTCTTGATATATCATCCAGCCTTTTCTCATTTCGCAGCAATGGTTGCTTCTCAGAGTGGTTAAGAAGGTGTGAGAAACATCCAAAAGTTTTATGTCCTCAGTGTAGAGCTGCTGTAGAATTTGTTGGAAGAAACCATTTTTTGCATGGTATTGAAGAGGTATAGAAATATATGCTCCACTCTTTCTCTGAGTGATTTTGGTAGTCATAATCTGAATCGCTTGTCTTTTTGATAAGTTACGAATTCTATATTTTTATGGGCTTTTACATTTTTATTACTCTGTCTGTTTAATGTTGTTTGACACTGTTGTTTGGATGTCTTTTGGAAAAAGTCACACCCAAAAGTGGAGTCATTGAAAGTTTAGATTCCAAAATTGTTGATTTGGGGTTGGCTACAAAAAATTGAGAAAATATAAAATGCCATATATTCAAACTCATTTGAAAGCACATGGTAGAAAGCAGAGGGTGAATTGAGATTTTAAATTTTTGTGACAAGGAGTGAAGCATAAGGGTGACTATTCTCAAAAGCATCACTAAGTTTTTAATAAATAACACAAAATAAAGGGAATAAGTGTGAAATCCCCATTTTTATGTATGACAACATTGTTTTAATATTTTCTGCCCATAGAACTTTGGGCATTTATGTACAATTTACAATATGCATTCTATACCTTTTGTACCTAACATTTTCATGCACTGCTTATTCTTTTCTTTAGTTTGGTTATAGTTCTGCAACAGCATCTTTTTTAATTGAACTTATTTGTGCAGGATATACTACAATCTGATTCTTCTCTAAGACGCCCAAATGAAGAGATTGCACTTCTAGAGTCCTATGCATCAATCAAGTCACCTCTTGTAAGTAGAATTTTTTCTTGCTAGAATGCCAAAATTCTGGAGTTATTTCAACATTCATTTGTATGTGTGTGTGTGTGTATTTTATTTATTTTTTTATAGTCTTTCTAATTGTTCGCTATTTCATAATAATCATAAAGTGACGGTAACTAGCCATATAAACACTGGATGCAGGTTAACTAGACTGCTGAATTGTAGCTGTTGTACGGTCTCTCTTTGATGAATATGCTTATCCATATACCATGGCATGTGGTTCCAAAATTTTATAAAGAGGATGCGTTATACTTATCATAGCCTTTCCTCCATACAAATGGATGACAAAATGGGAAAAAATTGTTTGTAACTTGTGTACCATTTGTAACACCCTCTCTGATTTTTTGCATATATATATATATATATATATATATTTTGGTGTTTGTGAAGTGTTGTTTTATATATTAACTCTGGGTATAGGCTGCTGTACTGGTACCATTGCCAGCTTAGCATAGGTGCAGAGACCATATTAATGGGTATCTATACCTTTCCCAGAATAGGTACGTGTATCATAGCTTTTGAATTCCTTACCAATTCTCGAGCAGAATATTTACCCCCCTGTTTGAACCCCATTTTTGGGGGATAATATATTTCGGAATAGTGATTTTTTGCAAAATGTGTGGTTAAAAAATAAGGAAAAGTTTTGGATTTACGTGTAATATTATTTTATGGTAGAATGTGTGGTTGAAAATGAGTTTTGGAAAAATGAATTTTTGGAAAATGGCGACCAAACATAAGCTTAGTTAACTTAGAATCTACTTTTACTCCATTATACAGAAAATGTTGAGAAAGCTTTAAGTCAAACTGAAGTAGATAAAATTCGTACAATTTATTTAAGTATAATGGTTCCATTACATATTTATTAGCCTTATGATCAAGGGAAATTACCATCTGTTACTTAATATGCAGTGGTTTCACTAATTTTCAAAGTTATTTCATTACGAACCATTGTACATTACAAATACTTTGACTTTACTACTTTTCATGTTTATGTATATTTTTAGCTACATTATTTTTTATTACGTAAAATTAAAGCATATTCTTCTAATTCTTCTCAAAGTAATTATGATTAGATAAAACCTTCTAGTACTTGTAATTTGCAAAGCTCAATATATAACTTATTTAAAAGTGTGGAATCATTTGATCTAAAAACTTAAATTGTTAAGAGATAACCATGTATATAAATTTTAAATTTTGTCTTCAAGACGGCCCTTAACGTGTAGACTGGATTAAAAAAATAAAACTAAATTCCGTCGAAGACTGAATGCATGCACAAGTTCATTAAATGGATGGTGACAAGACTTAAACTCAGGGCACTTGCGTGCTTTGATACCACGTTGGACGATTTGATCTATAAGCTTAAGTTTTTAGGGATGGCACCATATATATCATTTAAATATTGTCTTAAACAAACAGTCATCCTAATCAATAAATAATAATCGTATACTAATAGTTTAAGTAGCAGGCTGTTTCATATCAATCCATATGTTATGCTGTATGACTTGGATGCATATTCTACCTATAGATGCTATACTTGTTTACTTGGAGTGGCTTCTGGATATTTATCAGTTTTCTGAATCTCAATTGCTTTGATTCAGTGATGCACTTTAGAAATCTATTACATTTTGCTTTTTATCTCTTTTGGTTGGATTTCTTTGCTGTTAATTTGCCCTTATTTCCCACATGTTACTGTCACATTTTTAGTGTTTGTGCTTCTGTATTGAATCAAGTTTTGTTATTCTTCAGTAGGGTAATACTTGAATAGTAGAGGTATATTAGCAAAAAAATTGATATTGAGACCTTTCATTTTAATTTGAAATTAACACCGAAGAATGATGCAAGAATTGTTGGAAAAAACTATGAATTACTAAACTTTCTATATCGTCATTGATCCTAATCTTCTTGGGTTTTTCCCACCACCTCTATAAGGCATCAAAACCTAACATTTTCTTTAGCATTGATGTGATGTGATACAAGAATTAAGTTCTTTTGAGTGGATATTTGGCTTATGTTTTCTGTTTAATTATGATGTCTAATGTTGGTGCATAAAGCTCCATCAATCTTGTGATTCTTCTACTATTTGAAGCAAAAAAGTTCAGTATCTGAAGAAATAAACTCTATTTTAATGTGATCCTTAGATTTTATATCCAAAAAGCCTATTCTAATTTGTTGAATGGTTCCTAAATGGTTAAGAAAACAATGTAGCTTTGCTGTTAATAAGCTTGATTGTCTTTTTACATTAATTATTAACACTTTATAATCCATAAAAGTTGTGTTCCTTTCAGCTTACGATTAACAATTAACTTGGATCTTCTTCCCATTGGCTTTTAAAATTTGTGGTTGATTTTCTTTCTTCATTTTCCAGTACTGAACTGACTTCTCCAGTATATTATGTAGGTCATTAACAGTGGAAGAAAATCTCGCCGAAAGAGGATACGCTCTTCAACTGATGAGGAGATCAGATTGGATTCTGCATGCCCTCAATGTGGTAATTACAAACTATATTTAACTTACGGTGTTAATATTCTTGCAACTTGAGTTGGCGGTTAGCAGTACATGACTCCAAAATGCCGCCATTCTGAATTATAACTTAACTTTTGGTATGACTTTCACCGAGGATGAGTTTTGAGATCTCAAAATCTCACTCGCCTGAACTGTAAATTTCTAGTATAAATTATGAAATATTGTTAATATGCTTCTTTAGTGGTAAATTTAAACCTTATCGCAGACCTTTTAAATATTAATTTTTCTTGTGTGTTTTCAGTCAATGAATATGCTGGGTTCCAGTGCAACCAAAGCACAATTCACCTGCAATGTCATTCATGTGGTGGAATGATGCCTTCCAGACCAAATAATGGTGTACCTCAACACTGTAATGGCTTCTTCATCCTCATATTCATTGTTTTTGGAACTTGTATGTATCACTTAATTGCAACTGTGACCCTGGATAAGAGGTTATATTGGCAAAGCAGTTGAGAAAATGATTGACTACCAATTTCGAGTTTCTTTTCTGTGGACAGATTTGAAGTAGTTGTTAAGAGATTTTCTTCACTACTTATCTAATTGGACTTTGTGAAATCAAAATTTTCGAGTCTCAGAAATGCAACATGAGCAGTTGACACTAATTTTTCTGCAACTCTTTGAAACTTGAGGATGAGTTTTGATGTAAGAGAGTGATGCTGAGAATGTGGTTAAAATCAAGGGTAGATATTTTATCTTACAAATGGATGGAGTTGGAGCAACTTGCATGAAAGGCTGAAAAATGTGTCTTCTTTTAATCAGCTGTTGGAATGTTCATATTTTGGTTTTCTAATGTTTCTGAAGTCGAGAGTATTTTAATACTTCCAAATATCTGGGTATGATGGAATTCTTTTTTAGCTGTAAATGTGATTCATGATTATCTGAATTTATTAATATTCTAGAATCAGTCTCGGAACTATTTTGTCAAGATTTTTCTAAGTAGTCTGATTCCTTGTTCTCGATGGAGAAGCCTTTAGGTTACAGAAATTATCTGTGTATATGTGAGGGCGCCCGTAGTCTGTGTGTGCAATCAAGTGTCTTGCTTATACGCAGCCAAATGAGCAGTTAATGCTGAGATATCAACTTTGATAGATACCTGGGGTGCATAGCATGATTTAGCACTTCTCAGGGCTATACTGCTATTATCTTTACCATTGGTTTAATTTATGATATTGCATATTGATTTCTCCAGTGTACATTGGTTGCTATCTAAGTTCTTTTTAAATTGCAGATCACTATCTATCAGCTAGAAGCTTTTTGTTTGTGAAGGGACAACAAATTCATATATTTCAAAATATTTCTAGGGTCCCATCCTTGCAAGTTTAAAGTTCTGGTTGTTCTACTTAAATTTTAAAAAAATTATATTGAACTGTATGGAAGAAGATTTTGACTTTGCATTACCATTTGGTAGTTAATCTGTTGGGAGAAATTCCATTTTTTTTGTTATATGATGCTGCGCCAGTTACTCAGTTTTTTAAGTGCAATATGACTATGAAATATGCGAATTATAATAAATTACTCTGCTATGAGCTTTCTGTCTTCTCCAGGTTTGGGATGTGATCGAGCATTTTGTGGTGCTTATTGGCATGCTCTAGGCGTTACTGGAAGTAATGACCACCCAGTGTGCACTGGTGAAACTCTAAAACCAGTAAGTGCTTTTGAGGTCTACTGCACGATAAGCCTGGTTCTGGAAGTGAATCCTTTAGCTCCATAATAAGAGTATTAATGTTTTCAAGGTCATCAACTTCCGTACAATTTTCAGGCATAATTTGTTAACTTACAGGACATCAGTATTTTTGAAAATTAGAAAATCAGTACAGAATTTAAAGCCTAATTAATATCACGGCTCCAAATCGTGAAGGCGAAATATGTATGGGCCAAGTCAGACATGAAATCAGACTTAAATTTAACCGTATAAGTTTTGGAGATCTGAAGTCTGGAATCTTGATTTTGCTTTACTCTGTTACCACTGCCTTTCCTACGAATTGCATCCACGTCATATTTTATCATGTCTAGCCATTGATTTTTCCATTTAACATTTGTATCCATTTGTAGATATCAGAGCGTACTATCATAAGGATTCCCTTTTTGGCTCATGAGAAGAATCGCCATGAACAATATGTATGGGGTTTTTCTTGTTCTTTCCTGGGATTTTTTATTCTTTTCTTTCTTGTTTTTGTTTATCTCTTTGTTTGTTTATTACTGTACAGATTACAGAAAACTGTTTCAGTCAGGTGGGAAAGTCATTGCAGGATGTGATTTCGGAATTTGTCACAAAGATGAATAACAGGCAAATAGGTGAACAAGATCTTTATTTGAAACTCGTAAAAAACAAAAGAATAGAAATGCACATACACTTCACTCTCTCCATTTGGTCATTTTTGTTGAAACAAAAGTCAAGTGAAAAAAAAACAAAAACAAAAGAATACAAATGCACATACACTTCACTCTCTCCATTTGGTCTTTTTGTTGAAACAAAAATCAAGTGGTATGGC